CTAGGTTTCAAAGATACTCTTTTTAATGACTGCTATACCAGTTGGTATCGCCTGTCAGAGTGTTTTCCCTTACAAAGTTACAAATATAGGTTCCTTAATAAATAGGTGTATATAAACAAGTTTAAAATGCCCTGGACTATAATATTATCATAGGAAATACATAGATTTTCTAACGCGAAATCATTATGCGTCTTATTATTAAAGATATTGATCGCGCTGAAAATTACCTTGACCAATGAAGGAAATCTCGTCATTCCGTCAAATAGTCAATAAATAAATATTTTTTAAGGTCATAACTACTTTTTTTTTTAAATTTCATGAAGATCTAAAATAAAATGATTAAAAAAATGACAGACATAGGCTTATTAAAAAATAAAGAAATCAAGCTAATATATGTAGGTACAAGTATTTTAGTAATTAAATAAATACAATTAAAAATGAACCGGTGTCTGTTTATAACTCTACATGCACGTATGAAGGGTGATTAAAATATGTTAATTGTATAAGTTATATTATTTTTGTATTTAGAAAACACAACATAAAAGTATAAAATCAATATTGTCTTTAGTCTAGAGACATTACTTTTTTTAAATCAATTAATAACTATCGATGCTGTGTGTTATTTTATTTCGTTTAAAACACAGCATGTCTATTATAGTGTAAAACAAAATCAATGTCAATTTCAGACTTCAGTCACCATTTTTATAAGTTGAATATTACATTCAGCTGATATTATGTAACTATGTAAGTGTGGAGATATATTTGTAACTTTTCTTTATTTAAAAAGAAAAATGCAAAGCAGCATAAATGGGGTCAATATACTTCCAAATTCAATTTGTATTATCTTAGAATCGTTTTCCTAATTTATTTCTAAAAATGAATAAGTGCACCTGTTTTGTGTGTGATTTTATCCACGAATCTAATGCGTTCTTCATCAGTATGAAATAAATAGTATCTATCTACGAACGGATATTTATTTTAAAATCCATTCAATATTTTTCTTAAAGGTTAAATTTTGTAAAGAAATTAAAAAAAGAAAAAACCTATTGATTTCAGTAAGTTTATTAGGTAGGTAGGTCTACCTATCTAGTATTATTAATCCCGAAGTCTGAACTAATTTATAAACATGCGTTGTCCTTTTATGTACCTACCTTCTATTATGTTTGGTAAAAGTACATTCGAATTATAAAATAAACCACTGTCATAATCGAAACATACATTTTTTTTATTATTATTTAACTTTTAAATCATTTGTCGTTCACGTGTGCAACTGGATCACGATTCCACTCTTCAGCGTTGTTATTAATTGCCAACGTGCCACAACATTTCGTCCACAATAGTCAACGACCAGAGTAAGCTTGTCTGAATAAAAAACGTTTTCGTAATAAATTGTTGTTGATATTTTAAGTTTTTTTTTAAATATAAGCGATTTCATTTATTGTTATCTACACGTGACTATAAATATATACTTTTTGTCGTACTTCCGCTTCCACCCGAATGGGATTTTTCTTTTAATAGTTCCACTGTTTAATTAGGTACACTAAAAAGTAAAAATATATAATATATTATATTTTATAAGTAAATAAATATAATAAATATAATACATTAATTATCAACTTACCATATTCAAATATAATGAACATTGTAAAAGCAGGAAATTATAATATTAGGAAATAGTATTGTTTTAGTTACCTGTAGTGTTATACACTATATTATGTTACTTACATTCACTATGGCATGTTAGTCGATATGATACTAATTTGCATTTTAATATTTTTTAATAGCACAGTGTGGTTGTAAATTCAAGCAAAACCGGCGCGATTGAAGTTGATATAATATTATTTGATTACCCATACCTAATATTATTAAGTACAATATCTTTCGGCTCATGGCGCATAATATCCAGATTATGTCCACATAATATGTAACACTAATACCAACAGTGCAACGTATAGTCGTTCAATAGTTATGACCTTTCAGAAGTAAACGTATGCGAAGGATAGCGTAAACAATAAAATATCTTTGACTATAACCGTGTCAAGTACACGATAGGGATATCTGATACAGTTTGCCTGGTCGTGGCTCCCAAGGAGACGATATATTATATTATGGTACGCGCCCGTTTATCATCTCGGACGGAGTGTTTATGCATTTAATTTTTACAAGGTGCTCTGAATATCTTATTTGAATCGGTTTGAATTACCATTAAACACGGGCAACATTAATTATCGGTTACTTCAGTACCTATGTACTTATATATTGTAGTACGAAAATATACGAGATGTATGCGAATATTATATGATTAATAACTCAACAATGAGCTCGCGTGGTGTGCAGTCGAAATAAATCTACGGCATCAAAAAATACTGTACGTCATGCTGTTTGTCTTTGGATATATTACTATACAGAATGATTTATCAAGCTTGCCCACCCTCTTTTAATACATTTTTTTTAATTGTTACTTAGATTTTTCAAAAATACTATAAAATACCATATAGTTTTGAATGATTAGATTTTTACCATTTGAAAATAACCATGTGAGATGATTCAAATGTTTTTTATACGAGAACCATTCTTTTATATGTTGTAAATTGTATACATAAAAACATAGGTAATTACTAATTACCAATATATGAAATGTTGGCAAGTGGGTACCACTGCTTTGTTGTATATTGGGTGTTGTTTGTAGAGTTGTTGCAATGGATGTGTTACATTTGAATTTAATGATATAATATATTTGTATACGACAAACGGTTCTGAGCGAAGGCGGTATGTCAGCCTATATATATTGTATTATAAATTATAATATAATTAGTATTAAAGTAATTTATTTTATGAATTACTAATACACTATAGGTTGAACTAATTTCTTTAAAAATGCATTTGAAAAAGTCATTATTAAATAAAATAATACACTTCTTAAGGTTCAAGTAGTCACTCGTGAATAATAATGTCAAATTAAAATAAAATAACTAAAATTGTTATTCTTCGTTTAAATATCTAATGTTGTGCAAATTTGAACTTCAAATATTATTTAAAAAAAAAAAAACATTTTTGGATTTCAGTGAACTACTTACCGAATGAATTAAATTGTAGTGAGTATCTTTGAATTACACAAAAAAACAAATTTTGTCAAAAACTGGCTTTGCCTAAATTTTTTTGGATTTTACTACGTTTTTGAAAACCTCTGATAATTCTTGTTTTAACACCCTAAATAAGTACCAACTAGATAAGTATGCTTGGCTTATCAGCCAAATATAATATATAGGTGCAGATGAAAATAGAATTTGACGAATGCACACAGTATATTAAGATTTTCATAATTTGCCTTCAATATTTGGGAATGAACTAGGATCATTGAAACTATTTAATTAAATCAATACCACTATTATTGTCACTTCTAAGTTCTAACTCTGTCAGCAATAACAATAAACTTAATCTATAAGGTTTTAGTTCAATTTTTTTTATACTTTTTAGATTTTTTTCATCACATTTATACGACACATTGTCATTTAACTGCCGTGAACGAAGTATAATAAGAAGATTATTTTAATTTATAACAATTTTAAAACTAATCTTTTAGGTCGTTTTGATATTTAATTTGTACGCCGCGTGGATTACAAAAACACACAAATTCCAGTTATTTTATAACGTTAATTTTACGAATTTATACCGAAAATGTAGGCTGTATGATAAGTTTTTAATATTCAAGAGAATATTATTTAAGAATAATAATTATTGCTAGTTTAAATTAGCACTCGTGTTCATTAATATTAAACACTTATTTATCCTTCACTGCACATGGTTAGTTATTATCGAGTACATATGAGTAAACGTATACACTATACATGTATAAACTCATTCAAAAATATTTTGCAGTGACTAGTTTTTCGATTGCAATCATCTTCCTACGACTTACGAGCAAGTGAAATATCAAATATTACACATACTGTTTTCAGTAAACTATAATTAAATAATAAATATTGTTTACAATATGTTCTTGTTTTGATACATTATAAATAATAACTTACATTATATTATTGTAATTGTATTCATTGTCAAAATTTTGTATGAAATATTATGAATATTAATGGTTACACATGATTACATAAGTTATCATTCATAAATTATAATCATTATACATCGTTTCATAAATATTCAGAAAAATAATAATGATTAAACATGTAAATAATATAAAAAATAATTGTAAATAATAGGTATGCTACTGCAGATACATTCATATAGTTAATACGAAGGTGAATTTAGGTATATATTGTTCGTTAAATGTGATAAGACGATAACTCGTTACAGTTATTTTATTAATCATACGTTTATGTGAGTTTTAATTGATGAAAAAAAAAGCTCAACCTAAAATTATCCATTTATATCATATTTAGTATTATTATATGTAAGACTATATTTTGTAAGTATTAGAATACATTTTAAATTGATAATGTTAGAGGGCCTATGTTATAAACTGGTTTTGTTGCATTCATATCGATTATAATAATGATTAAAACATTCACCGCTGGCCATTTGTTATTTATTAGCCCAATTTATATAATTCCATTTAAAGTTCATTGACTTATTATTAATTACCTATACGTGCCTATAGTTAAATTTTTAATTTATACATTTCAGCACCCATTCTATATGTGAACATAATTTGAGTTAATTTTTTTTTTTTAATTAAAATTATTTTTACTACACAATCTGTTACAGATATTATATTAGAACAATAAGTAAAGTGAGATGTATAACGAAGAAAAGAAAAAAACACATGTTTCCCCGAGTAAAGAATCCTCCCACTGGAGGAACTTCAATGTGTATTTAAAATTAACGATTTATTCTGATTTTTGATGTAATTGTAATAGTTAATAACAATATTATTTTAATAATATCATAATTTTGTTTATGATAATAATTGTTATATTGATTATCGTAATGCTATTCGCTATGTTTGGTATTAAAAATTGTAATGTTTTATATACCTAATCGAGTGACGTGAATTTATTTGTTTACATGATTTAAGAACTCAAAAATTAGATTTTATAATTGTGAATACTTGCTCTTTGCAAAATTACGTGTACTGAATTTATTCTGTTCATTGCCATATAACCGGAACTTCGTCTTATACTCGTACTCCCTAGTTATGACTTATGGCTGTAAAAAACTGGTTAGAATGTGCAACACTAATATATCTTATTAGACATTTATTTTTAGATTTATTATAATGTTTTTGTTTTGTTTACTTAAGGAAACTTAAACAAGATTAAATAATTTTGCATTAGACTCGTAGTTACCTAACCTATTCATTAAACATAAAAGTACAAAACTTAAATTATATTTTAGAAGTTCTACTACCTGAACCATTTATTCTAAAAACACGTACAAATATTTATACCATCACATTCCTATCTAAATGTCAATAAAAATATTAATTTTATAATCTACAAATCGGTATGTATTTATGGTGTGTGCACTTGCTTCGATGGGTAGGAACTTATTTTAGATTTAAACAAATAATCCATACTAAGACCAATTTAGTTGATTTCTTAGCATTTCTTCCGGAATCCATTTCTTTTTTTATATAATACCAGGAACAATTCAACATTATACTATGAGTAATATTGTATATACAAATATTTATTCAACTGTTACGTCAAGATACATAATAATAGTATCCATACCGTTAAGCTTTGACTGAAAACATTATGAAATAGTGAGGGCATTTTTATTGGAAAATTCCGTTAAACTCGATCGTGTGCAATGCCGTTTTCCTTGACTGTATTATGCAATTGTATTGTTTTGAACTAAACACAGTTATAGATGAGTCCAGTATATGAGTACTTACTGTATGGACATCGTGTGTGCGATACGAAATGACGGACAGTAATATTATTATGTTTGCAATATTCTTGATGACTTCTGTGTTGGCCGTTTCCAGTCAATCAAATCTTCAGTCTCAACTATGGGTCACGAAAATTTTGTCCGACACTCTGGACGAGTACACACCCGATGGAGGTGTAGTTTGCAAGCGTCATGGTCTGCAGTATCGAGAAGGGTTGAGAGACCTTAAACTGTGGGCTACTCAAAGTGAGTTTATGTATAATAATACGTTTGATTATAATTGTATACAGTCTGCGTTAGTGCGCTACATAGATTGATTTATGTTTTACAAATTGAAACAAAAAAATCAGACAAAGGAAGAAAAATAATTAGATTTTTTTAAATTGATGTGTACTTTACCTATCCTCCGATCCCCAAGGAACAGGAATAACTATAGCGAACAATGATGTAATTTTTCAATATTAAAGGTCTATTATTATTAAAAATTGAGTTCATACGTTCATTATTGATTATATTTGGTAGATAATTAAGTGTGTTTAAGAACCTACGCGTAGAGTCTTATATGGTAATATACAAATTGTGCCCATTAAAATTAATGCATATTATAATTTTGGTCAATTATGTCTGGGCCAATAATTTGTATGTTGTCCTATAATCGATAGTTACTTAAACAAAACGATTGAATAAATTATTATACCGGTATTATATATTTTATGGAGAGAGAAAAGATAATTTAAATAATGAAATGTAACATATATTGGATTATTTCCATTGACGAGACGGTGAGAATAATACGGTAGATTCTATATATTCCCCGTATTAGGGCTTGATATGCCGTTTAATATGCACAGTATCAGTTGTTACAACTATGGAGTTGTATACTTGTATAATACTCCTGGATGATAGAAATAAAACTACATTAAAATAGCGAAACCGTTTTCAATTTTAAAACAAACGATTTGTAATTGTGAAATGATTTGTTCCAATGAGTGTTCCTATATTGATTTTCATTTATGGTACATGACATTAATTCAACAAAAAATGAAAATATTGTGTACCACGGTATATGACAACTGTTAATTTTGCTTTATGACGGGGAGTAGGGTGAAAGCCTCATTCGGTCTCCTGTTTGGCACAATAATATATTTAGGCTCCTTTAGGTTTCTGTCATGACGAACGCTGTAATAACCACTGTAATAAATTGTATTATTGTTGAATCGACTATTATCCATTCAAACATATTTATGGTTTTGTTTTGTTTTACCATTTATGTTATTCAGAATGAAATTTTAAAATAAAAAATATTTCTATTTTCAGTGTATGACGCATCATCTAAATTTCCTACGGGGATCTTAGCTGGGAGATCTTATGACTTTGGAAATTTTGACGAGTGTTTAAAAATTGTTACTGATGGTTTGGAATTAAGTCCTCAATATTGTATTATAAGCATTCGTTTTTTACCTACTGCAAAATTGTATCCAAAATATTACAACATAACACCTACTAATCTAAATCCAACAGACTCTGTGTGGGAATCGACAAAGGTTAGTTATCCATGCATAGATTCCAACTTAAATATTTTATTCGATCAACAATATTCTTGAAGGCTGAAATAAATAAAATGAAGTAATATTTAATTAAACTTATATTATATTTAATATTATACTAATTTTACCATGCAATAATCATAAGTGCAGGGTACAAACAATTTTTATACTACCTATTTACAATTTCTTACGTAATTTAAATATTTATATAATGATATTCAATTAATATCAGCTAACTATATTATAATAACCGAATTGGTAAAACAATGTTAAGTGGCTTGGTGAGGTGTGGTCGCACGCTCAATCTGCCGCAAAGTTCTGAGCTTACGTACTGGCCGTCGTTGCTAGTACTCGGATGGGTGACCACCTGAGTTTTTAGCAACACAAACCAACCGTTTCCCCCCATAAACAGCTAATGGTCACGGCAAAGCCGAGTTTTCGATTAAAAAAAAAACAATATTACAAATTACAATCTTTGGAGTATAAAAGGTACGATAATAACTATACAATTGTACACTTAGGTATACACTAACTCATGTTTAATTACAATAAATATCACTTAACAGCTGAAGTCTAATGAAAATGATTTTACCTATCGAAATTATCCTATTTTAAATTATAACAATGGCTTTTTATGAATTAATAAATAATATTTCATTAATTCATTCATACATTTGGTTATTGACCAAAATTTGAATAAAGTAAAATCACTTTTAACAACTACTAGTCTTGATTTTTCAGTTTTCCAATTGTTATATGTTATTAGTTTAATATGTTTATATGTTATTTAGAATGACTCCGGTTTAATAAAAATGCAACGCAACGAAATCAATACGGCACTCTGTATACCATCGTCATGTTCACATTCAGATATACAGACAACATTATCACCTAAAATAATTTCTGCATTTAATAAACATCAACTTATTACCACTGTTACTGTGAATTCGATTTATTGTACTACTCAACAAGAACTCCAACCACCAAAGTTATTGGGATATCGAATATTTTGGTAAGACACATCAAAAACCATAAATTTGTAATTTAATAAATGTTTAAAAATATTAAATTGCAGGCATACTCTAATTGATTTCCTAAGCTAATGTTATTTTTAAAATAACATATCAAAAATTAAAAATTTCGGTATCTTCTCAATTCTCTCAAACACTTTGAAGTTAATTTAAGTCAATATTTTTTATGGTAGCCGGTAGGTAACTGATAAAAAAAGCATAAACCATGATCAAATTAACCAAAATATTTTTTAGATTCTAAGGGGAGCGATTAATGTATTGATTATTTCACCATGATGTGTGTTTTTATATATATTTATTCATATTTTTTTGTGTGTTAGTCATAACGGTTTCTTGCAGTAAAAGTGTTTCGATTTTCTTAAACAGCAGCTTTTCTGGTTGGAAAGTGAAATTATTTGTTACATTCGGGAGTTCAAAATTTAAAATTCCCAATAGTTTTCAAAACAAACAAAAAATTAAGGAAAACCTGGAATTTGTATGCAAAATCATTTTTCAAAAATATCGATTTTGGTTTTTAGTGTAACTCTAATCAAAATGACCGTAGATACATAAAATGTTCACTGAATATTTGTGTAAGCATTTTCTATACACCATAACATTTTAAAAATATTTTGATTTGTGTTGAACTATTTATAGGCAAATGAAATTTTCGATTTTTATTTGTTTTTTTTTAAACCCAAGTCGATCAAAACACTTTAAATTGTAATACAAGGTTCCTTGTAAGCTGTTGTTAATGGAAATTTAAAAAAACGTTGAGCTCAAAATCCACAGTAATTTACGAACATTCAAACTTAGAATTTTAACAAAAAAATTATGAAAATTAGCAAATTATATTTAGTTAGAAATTCATAAAAAAATTTCTATTTATATCTAAGATTTAAAAATTTAATACAAGATTCCTTACAAGTTTTTCTACCTTTATCAAAAAAAAAATCTTACCGGAAAATCAAATTAAATTTTAATGAGCGTTTGAAGTTGACATTTTTTCAACATTGGATATTCACTAGATTTCTCATGTAGCGATTTTCTTATTTTGTTGTAATTCAAAAACAAATAAATGTAGATACTTGGAATTTACATAATAAATTTATTTTACTAATTCATATATTTAAACAAATTTTCAAAATATTTTGACTCGTTTTGAACTGTTCTCGAACTTTTTCAATTTTAATTTTTTTTAGTTTTTTCTATAAATGTCAATACAAATTTTATTGGTTGGGTCAAAAAGCATGACAATTTAATACAGGACTCTTTATATATTGTTATAATAGCTGTTGAAAAATATTAGAAATACATGGGCACTATTTTTTTTTTATAAGCATTTAAAGTTCAAATGTTGACAATATTTATCAAGTTGAAAATTGAAAATGATTTTGTAGTTAAAAATGTATAAAATGTTCAATTTGTATAGCTATAAGGATAAACAATTTAAAACAAGGTTCCGCGTAAGCAGTTTTTTCCTTAACTAAGAAATCTAAAAAAAAAGTATGAATACTGACAATACTGTTATTTTTTACAAACATTTTTAATTCAAATTTAGACAACATTGCATATTAACACAAAGAATAACAGTTATCATTTTGTTGTAATTCGGTTTCAAAACAGCCCAATTTTACATAAGTATATTTAATATTTTTTGAGCATCACTGATAATTTAAGAATAATATTAATTCAACTCTCCGGCTACCATTTGTTTTTCGTATTCAATAATACCATCCATTATAGCGACCTCGTAGACACCTCATGTACAGCAGAGCGACATCCATTTACCCGCTTTTTTCGTATTGATATTGAATTAAATTTGAAACTCATCATCGAAATGCAACACAATTCAAATAATTCATATACAATTATGTTAGAAAATAACTTTTTTGTTCATAATAATATTTTAATTTTAAATATTATGTTTTGTATTTAGGGGAGTCTTGTTGCTTATTATATTATTGACTTTCATCGGATCATTATGTGACGTATACAATCAGGAAGAAAATCAATATGATTACAGTGAGTACCTAACGTAATGTAAAGTTACAAAAATAATAATTTGTACCTACCTACTTATGATGAATATAATAGATGATTTAAATAATATTTTTAGAGTCGTTTTTCATGGCATTCTCATTTCCGGCTAACATAAAACGTTTATTTTTGGCCAGCAATAAAACCGAAAATCTATCTTGTATTGACATTTTAAAGACTCATGCATGCGTTCTAATCATAATTGGACAAAGAATGTTGTACAGTACTGGACAGCCACTGCAAAATCCTAAAAAGTTTGACGAGGTGTATAAATGCATAATATATAATACACATTTCTTATCATTAATTACTAACAAATACAATTAACTACTACTATGTTTAACTATAATAACACTCGGATGTTTCTAGGTAGCTTTACATTTATCGTATGCTATGATTCGCAATGGATCATTGGTTGTCGATTTCTTTTTCGTTTCAGTGGTTTCCTAACTTTTTATTTTCTCTATGATGAACTAGTCAACACAAAAATCATAAATGTACCATTACTCTTGCTATGGAGATGGTTGAGGTAAGACATATAAGAATAACATAACAACTGTATTACATATTATGAAGTATTTTTAATGTTTGAAATTTGAATAGCTATTTGATACTTATTTTTTTATAAATTTAATTTGTTAGGTTTTCAATAATAGCAAAGAAGCAATTGGTTTGACATTTATCAACTATTGTATTATTATAAGATACAATTTTGAGTCTAATGATTACATTTTAAGATTAAATTATAATTTTCCTATTCAATTCAATCTAGGTGCCTGCTGTGTACCATTTAATTTAAGATTATATTCCCTTAAAATTTAAATACATTATTTTTCAGTTGATACTATTGGTACTTTTAAACCAAGGATGCTTGTACATTATAATTATTCTGATTCCACACATATTTCAGATTAATGCCTGTATATGGTTTAATGATAGCGTTTCATACATTTGTTTTATTACATTTGGCTGATGGACCATTATGGAAAAAAATAGCTATTCAAGAATCAGATCACTGTCAAAATAGTTGGTGGAGCAATCTTCTGTTCATAAATAACTACGTACACGCCGACCGTCCAGTAAGAAATACATTTTCTATGAGTTCTTAAAAAAAAGTTTTGAAGACCTAACAATTTCCAGTGTATTATTCAATCGTGGTATTTGGCGTGTGACATGCAATTCTTCATCGCCGGTATCATACTGGTGTATTTCGTGTGGAAGTACCAAAAGTATGGAGTCTTCTTAATGTGGGCCACTATATTTCTGTCGTGTCTAATTCCAGCTTGTGTCGTCTATGCTCATCAGTTTTATCCGACATTTTTGAGTTATATTTCGTAAGTAATCACATGTCAAACGTCAATTGTTGTCTATTTCATTTTAAAATCAAATAAATAAAACCAAAATTTTAAATTTTTACGGTAAATTAGTTGATTTAATAGCAAATTGTAATTATTTTCTATTATCTAAATGGAATATAAAATTTAAAAAGATTATTCCTTCACTCTTAAAGATATAATGTATCATCGGTCGAAAATTCGAGGTTTAATGAAAAATTATGATTGGATATTATTTTATTTCACTAAAAATATAGAGGTGAACTTATGCAAATAAAGGTACATAATTATAGGTACCTGTTAATACAACTAATAATCTTGCTTTCTTGTCTTTTATCGTGTTGCTTACACGTCTCCTTAACTACTCTTGACCTAGGAAGAGTTTAATTTATATATTATATAGGTACTAGGTATATAGGTTGAATTGTATAGTAATGCATTTTCTTTTTATTGTTCCTAAGCTTTGTGTATTATTATCTCCTATAATTGGATGCCTAGCGCCTGCCCGGTGAACTATTTTTTTCTATAAAATAAGCGATTTTACTATATATGGTAAATAAAAACAGGTAAACAAAATATGTACATATTATAGACTTGTTTCTTCAACTTCAAAACTTGGTTAGCGAATTAGTTATATAACTTGATGCATCTTCATTTTTCACTACATATAATACTGTATTTTTGCGTTTTTTAGGATCTTAAACTATCTACCCGATCACCAAAGTTACACTAAGCTATATGTGCCTAGTCACACAAGATCGACACCGTACTTCGTGGGTATATTTGCGGCGTATGTTTACCGGTACTTGAGGCTCGATAAACCAAAGTTTCGTTTTCCGTATTCGAAAACTTTGATAACGATACTCATTACAATGTATCCATTATTTCTAATGACGATTCAAGTGTTTTACGTCCACGAATATAACTTATGGCTTAGCGTTATATACACGTTCTTGTACCGAATGGTGTTTGCTACTATTGTATCCATGTTTATTATAATATCTGCCATAAATGGATTTTTTAAAGGTATAATATCGTTTAAAAGGTTAAGCTAGGTTCAGTGTTCGTTACTTCAATTTTTTTAAATTATGTTTTGTACATTTTCATCAACTAAAAAATGGGGGAAGTAGGTAAACGCTTTGCTGTACAGTATAGCTAGGTTTTGAATCTACCTCATCATTGAGGAGCAAGTCGCTATAATGTGAATGTGTTAAATTTTGATTCAACCATTGAATAATAAGTGCGAAATTAGTCTAAAAACCTATATTATTATATTTATTTTATGATATTATTTTCAATCTTTAGCTATAAAAATTGAACATTTTATACATTTTTAACAAAATTATTGGAAAATAGTTGTGCCTTGCGGTATTGACGAATTCCATCATAATTTGAACATAAAATACTTATAAAAGATCTTTAATATTTTTAAATATTAATAACAACATCCGATAAAGAATCTTACCTAAGTTACCTTAAATTTTCAAGTTTTTTGACAAAACAAAAAATATTTTATCGAAAAAAAAAATGAAAATGTCTATAAATAGATTAAAAAGAGTCAACATATTTTGAAAACTTCGTGTATAAAAAATGCTAATAGAAGCATTTGGTAAAAATTTGAAGTATATAAGGAGTATTTGTTATTGAGTTAAGCCAAAAAAATAGCAATTTTGTCAAAATTTGTGTCTGAAGTTAAAATTGCCGTTTAGGGTTAACTTAATTTGGTTTTCCTCGGTTATTTTGAAAAGTAAGAACTGGGAATTTGTTACTTTAGTAATAAAACACACATCTGCTGACTGCTGAGCATCTTAAGTTATCGTTCATAGTTAAAAATAGATATAATATTGAAACGTTCATCAATAACTTAAGTGTATTTTATAATTATAGGTTTGTGGTTACGTATATTTATACCATTGAGTAAATTAACGTATGGAGCATATTTGGGAGGGTTATCAATGCAATTACTACAAGTAGCATCGATGAAATCACCAACATATTTCAATGATAGTTTTTTGGTAAGTAAAGCAATTAATAAATAAAACGTTTTCTTTTTTAAATACCTATTTAATATTATTTGTGCTTAATATTTTAATTATGAGTACAATTTTAGTACTGATTGCCTGCATAGAAACTTAATAATTTTTAAGCTTACCTTTTTATAATTGTATTTCCTATAGTTATGGTTAGCAATCGGAGATACTGTGTTTGGATTCATACTTGCGTTTTTGTTGTATACTTTAATTGAATCACCATTCGATATACTACTAAAAAAATTGGTCATCATCATCAGCCCAAGTAAAATAATAAATTGTAAAACTAAATTATCTATTTAGTTAATTTATAAACTAACATTTAATATTTTATTTGTGACTATCTTACAAATATAACCTAAAACCTTGTTCCTATTAAGTGGTACTTATATACCAAATACACCTACACATACATCGATACATCGTCTATGCATGGTGGATCGTTGTCATATCTATATAGTATATAATATTCAACGATATTTTTCGGGTTAATTCATGGGGATTTGTATTGTCTTTTGTAATTTTTATTAAACTGATGTCGGACACATTCTTGTTTGGTTGGAATTGCAAATTAGTTGAAGTATCTACTATTTTTACACTTAAGTGGGTTCAGTTTAAATACAATTTAATGGATAAATCTCATAGTATAGTCATATCCATAACATGTTTAAGCATTAGCACTGAATTGAGTAATGATTCCTTAAAATATGTTAAGAGACTATCTATGTAACTCGGAATTAATAAGAGATCCAATATTTTATTACTTATAAATAAATTTGAAATTTTAGTAGTTAAAATAGTTTTAATGGTCCATTTTAACATATTTTGTAATTTACTTGTGTAGGTTATATAAATTATAACATTAATTATTGAGTGTATTTAATTTAGACTCAAATTACCTACATGAATCAAATTCACTTACCTTTAGTGTAGATCTACTTAAACCTGCTTGCCATTAATTTTAATAAAAACAAATTTTTAATAATGATTATCCTTTTTATTTTAATCGTTATTACAGATTGTAGCCTTTTTCTTTAAGTAGGTAGGTACCTATTAAATTAAATATTAAAACATTTATTATAATTAACATATTGAACAAGTACCTATATAAATGCGATAAGTACAAGTTTATTATATAGGTAGTATATATATGTGTAAATACCTGTATGATTAAAATAGTGTTATTGTGGTGAATATTATTTCTTAATTTTAAATTGGAGACAAACTGGTAGTGTATTCAGTAGATAACTGGTACATATGTTGTTTTTAATGTCTGGATAAGATAGTTTCACTAATTTAAAGTTAAAATATATTATACACAATAAACAGTTAACTGTGTACTAATCACTAACTATACATTTGTACATATTAAAATCTAACTTTATTTTTAGATTCTAGATTATTACGCATGTAATATACCTTACTATGTTACTATATTAGCATGTTATAGACTATAGTTATACTAAAGGTAAATAGATTTGATGTTTAGTACAGTTAAATTATATACATGGTTCAATTAAAATGGATTTTTTGTTTTTCAGAAATAATGTTTAATAGTAAAACAATGACAGATTCTACAGTTCCCAGGAAGATAACTCTCAGAACACTCCGGTCTAGATAATGTGATGTAATTAATTTACATTATTAAAGTCCCAACTGAAGACTCTTTTTTCCTATTATTATTATTATTATTATTATTATTATTATTATTATTATTATTATTATTATTATTATTATTATTATTATTATTATTATTATTAATTTTTATTTTATCTAAACAAATATTATACTTAATGTATATTAAGTAATCTACCTAAAATGATATGAAATACTTTTTTAGATAACTATATTTTCAGGTTTTTAACAACATAATTTATTTTAGTTAAATATAAATGTTTATAATCATTATAATTCGTAATTAAACCTACACAAACTTGCTTAAACTATTGGTTTATACATTATTTAATTAATGACTTAAAAAAAATTATACACACATTATACAATTTTTTTTAAATTTTTTAGTATTTTTAAATTGTAAAATTTAAGCTAAAATGCAGGTAAGTAATTAAACACTCTTTAATTTCATAATAACTAACTTTTGCAATTGTACGAATTTCGTATAGAAAACATTATTAATTTATATATACCTATAAACTCCAAACTCACAGGTAAGAATATGGCTCATCAGTCATTCTTTATGGAAAGCTTGATGGCCCTTATGGAAAAGTGGGTGGTCATTATGGAAAAGCGGGCTTTAAAGATTAATATTGTCATCGTCCACTCTCCAAATACGGTCTTGTTAATAGGTATATTTTTAAATGAAAAGCCAATGTCACACAATTTATTATTTTGAGAGTGGTAACGTCTTAGTAAAAACATATATTGTAATTCAGAACAAATAAATGTTCTACGTGAAAAAAATGTGCATTAACAACCATATGGTTCTATCTAAAGAACTTTTTGATTCTAGTCGAAACATTTTTACGTTTTTTTATGTTAATAAGTTTTGATTAAAAAAAACAAATTGTGCATGTTAAAGCAGTGCAACATTGTGCAATTTAAGATGTGCCAATCATCATAAAGCGGGTAATGGGTGTCACTCTGCTGTTCATTAGGTGTCTAGAAGGTCGCTGTAATGGATAATATTAAATTTG